TAAATCAAGGATAAGATAAGTGTACTGACCTGCTCCTAAATCTAAACTTATCAAAAATAATAAAACAACAACCTAACAGAGCCCCCATAAGCTCTGCAGGTACAAACAGCACACAAGACCACCTACTCAGGCCCCCATAAGCCCGGAAGGTGCCAATCAGTCTATATACCCCTATCTATAGTCCCTTAGCCCTGTAGGCAATCACATAGCCCTCTTAGACATTAATATAGCTTATAGACAACTCATAGCCCTCTTAGGCAACAACATAGCCATGTAGGAAGCCCATAGCCTTCTTAGGCGTCAATATAGCCCTATAGGCAACTCATAGCCCTTCTAGGCATCAATATAGCCCCGTAGGCAACATATAGCCCTTTTAGTTATCCATTTAACCCCGTAGGCTGGACATAGCCCTTTCTAGGCATAAATCACATTCCTGCAGCTAACCAGAATAGCCCCAACGGCAATAATAACAATCAAATCGTTAAAAGCGAGCAATCTAAGCAACCTGTACAAATAGCCTCTAAGTCGTGTCCAACATAGGGACGCTACAAACTGAATAAGAATCCCGATAAGGGAGGATTATATCAACCTGAGCAACCAATAATCAACAATAACGGCTACAAGTATATCAAGTATATTAAGGAACATGTCGTAAGTAGGGAATAGCCTTAACATACCTTTTTTGCTAAATTCACGTGGCCTAAAGACTTTAACTCATAACTCCCTCGATACTACAACAAGGTAGGACCATAATCAACACATAAAATAAAAGATACCATGACAATACAATAAAAGATATGTATTTCCGTCGCAAATTGCTATTTGCTGCTTATAAAATCTAGAGTCGATGAAAGAAGGGTCTTACCTCGATCTTAGGTTCGTAATTCACCTCAAAACCTTCAAATATATTCAAACCCCTGCTGTCCCAACTCTAAAATGTGATATGCTACGCAATCGATAAAACAAATTATACCACGATGATGAGCCCAACGCGTAGAACAACTTTCGTCAAGGACTTACGTCGAGAAAATCTATATTTCACTTGATCCTAAAACTGGGTTTCTATGTTTTCTCTGTATATTTAGCTTAAAATGAAGAAAAAACTCGAAGAAGACGCATATATACAACTTTCCACCGACTAGGGCCCCACCTCACGTGCCTGCTTGCGCAGTCCCACGAAAATGTGAATATCTCTCTATTCTGAAGTCGTATGAATGAACGGTTTGATGCGTTGGAAACTAGACTCGTAGACCTTCGATTCGATAGTTTGTGGGCCCCATAACTCTTTATAGATTGGGAGAAAACCTCCAAGACATTTGACCCAAATTTCAGAGAAATCTTTAAGAAGGAACTTACGATAACTTCCGCCAACTTTTATTTTGCCACTTACCTAACTTCAAAACTTGAGATGCAACACTTGAACACTTAAAATAGGACATACCACATCATTCTTAATTTATTACTCACCCTCCTTGTCTTTCCACGAAGATACGAGTTAATTTAGACGTTTTGAAAAGTCGGGGTGTTACGGTAATAATTTGTCTTGTAAGTGTAGATTCACATGTTAGGAATTCCAATTCAGCCTTCTTTGCCTCTCAAACATCTAGCAGAATTGTGGTTACATGAAGCACCTAACTCTGGAAAAAAATTAGCAAAAGTTGGAGCTTCTGCCCAAGAATTTGTCATGGTTTTGAACTATTCTCGATCAAACCCATAATTGAGTTAGTGTATTAAAAATGTAAAATATTTCAGTTTCTTCTTTTGCTTAAATATTCAAATTTTGCAAGGAGAAAACTTCTTGTGGCATGTTGTTAATTGCCTTTCATTTGTATGTTTTTTGTAAACTCGATTAGACGTTTTTGAGTTACTTGTTTTGCACCTTAGCTATAAGTTGTTTATTAAGAATTGTGTGTTTTTTTTTTTTTTGGCATAATACATATATTGGACCCTAAACTTGCTTCAAATTTCAACTTTGACCTCCAACTTTCATAGTGCACAAATAGGCACTTTAATTATCCAACCTTTTAATAAATAAACACGCGATTTTTGGAGGCAAAGAGCGTGAAATGCAAATGCTCCCACGTGTATTAGTGAGCCAATCAGTGGCTGCCAACTAATTAAATACTTTACACGTCCATTTTAGAACTAAAAAAAAATTAAAATTATTTTTAATTAATATACAAGGGTTATAGCTCTTTTTCCACAATGACAAAAAAAATTAGAAGCCATTTGCACTAAATATGAGCACAAATCGTTTTAAAAGAGAGGAAAAAAATTTTGATTTGAAAGAGGAGGAAAGAGAAATGAGATTTTGATTTGGAAATATAAAGATATATATAAAAGGGATTGATTAAGGGTAGATTTGTCATTTCAGCATTTTTTTACTGTTGTGGGCCTCGAAAATTACTCCTAACTCGCGCAAAATACGTGCACATCACGCGTTTTGCCAGGTAGAACACGCGTGTTTATATTTTTTTTACTATTGGCCCCCTCGATTTTTACATCTGACGCGCCTAGTTTGAGTGTATTTCACGCAGTTTGCCAGGTAGGATCCGAGTGTTTTTTTGTTTAAGTTTTGGATAGTTAAAGTGCCTATTTGTACACTCACAAAGTTAAAGGTCAAAGTTATAATTTGAAGCCAAGTTAAAGGTCCAATTTATGTATTATGCCTTTTTTTTTAATATATAATTAAGTCAAAACTTAGAATACAAAATGTTGATAAATTCTCTTTACTTGTAGCTAGTAGAAATTGAAACATTTGGGATGGTTGATTTGTACATGAAGGTTCATTTGAGACGTGCTTAAATATGAAGAATCTTTTCACTCATAAACAAAAGAACAGTAAATAAAGGAGAATAAGAATCTTATTTCTCCCTTTTTTGGTTGTTGAAATCAAGGGCGGAGGAAGAGGGACCAATGAGCTTCATTCAAACCCTGCCTTTTCGAACATTATGCTTAATATACAAATGATTTTTGGTGATATGGCTATCAAACACTTTTTTTTCCAAAATC